CTGAGCTCAGCTGATGAAAGCAAACAGATATCCTACTCCAACACTGATAGCGACAGAAGTCTTCTAATCTTTGTTCAGTATTTTCAAATCCAGTCGAAATTAGAATTTTGTGTTATTCAATGTGTGACGAAAAGAGTGCTCCAACTTCGCAGTGATGACCCTATTTGGAGGGGAACATTTTTAGCAGTGCTCTTAGAAATGGTAGAGACTTCTATAGTGTCTTGGTCCACTGGGAGGCTCCTTCATTCGGATGCTATACTGTTTCATGAAGGTCGATGGCTGAATGATATGTGTATTCTCTACTATTTCGATGTGATCTTAAATGAGAAGTATAGCAAACATTCCGGTTGGGACCAAGTCTTGTTGCTTGACCCGTGCACTGCTTTCGCTATCCGATTCGAAGAGGACGAAGACGACTTAGCCCAACTCATTGATGGTCTCAAACTTGCACAGAGGCGGTGCCTTATTGTCCCAATTAACGACAGCGATGACCCGACGTTACCGTGTGGGGGTTCTCACTGGTCTCTATTGGTTCTATCTCGTACCGCTCCATTGAAGCCCTGGGCGGGTGTGTACTACGACTCGGCTCCTGGACGAGAGATGCCAGGGTGGGTGAATTCTGTTGGTAGGAAACTCACTGGTGTTGGTGATATTAAGACCACTGTTGGTGAATGCAGCAAACAGACCAACTGCAGCGATTGTGGCATGTATGTTCTTGAGTTTGCTGAGAGAGTTCTCCGGATGTTTCTCGACGACGATGAAATGAGTCTACTCGACATCACCACTAATCTCATATCGGCTTTACGTAGATCAGTGCTTGCAAGCATTCGTAAGAATGATCGAGTATTTCTTTGAATGACATTTTCTATTTACGTTTGTTGCGTTAATAGCCAACTCATGACGATTCCCAACCGACAACCTATTCGAACCCGGAAGTAAATGAAGTCTTCATCCGTTAAGGATTAAGAACTGGAGTCCCATCGGGTTTCTCCAGTATTTCCACTTGATGAATATTTCCCCTTTGATTCTCTCGAGGGCATTCGACTTCCAATTCCAAAGACGTCCTTAATCTGTATGGATGAAATTTGTTGTGGGGAAAGGCCCCCTGGGACCTAGTGGTCCACATTGCCGACATAGCGCTTCGTGATGGGACGTCGGAAACTGTCCGAACTCAACAAAAGGAGAACTCAGCCCATGACAATACATCAGAATTCGAGCAATGATAGAATGGGCGAGAAGGAGCTCATTCAGTCTTGTGGCCGAAAAGATCGTCAAAAGTTTTCACAACGAAGGGATCATGTGTAAAAGGCATCGGCATCTGTTTCGGAGGGCTAATGTGTGGTAAATTGGCAGCAGGAGGAGAATAAAAGTCGTAAACATATCCCTCGTATACGATGTATTTGCCTTCATCATGCGCCGATTTCCCTGAAAAAAACTCGGAGTTCGCGCGGAAATATTCTCCCACCGTGGGGAAGAAAACCCAATCTCTCGTAGAGAATCTTGGCACCGACATTCGAGGGATCCACTAGTAGAAACACCCCGATGATTTCAGGCCACCCCGTCTTGATCTGCCAAAGAGGAGGTCGGTCACACAGGAACCTCAAAATGTATGCAGAGTTTAGATTACATATGCGAATAGTTTTGTCAACAATTTTGTCGCCACTCCCTTCCTCTGCCAGTCTTTCCTCACTTCTACACCGTCAATATACACCCACTTTCCGTAACCAGATTTGGCTATAGTAGCATACTCGACATTAGCGACCACGATCTGAAATACACATGGCTCTTCTGGTGGAAAAATACTCATTCAAGCTTCAGTCGTGATCCTCCACCACATCTCACCTCGCCCTGCTTGTCCAGAGGATCTACTGCAACGAAATCAGCGGAGTCGTCAGTTAACCGTTCAGGTCTGGGGATAACATCACTTGGGAGTGCACATCGATAATCGAGGTTGGCGGAGTCGGGGCTGATGGACGCCAATACCGGGCCGTTTGTGGTAAGGACCCATTGAAGGAGTCTCACGAAGAGCATATAGGATATGTAGCTTCGCATCGTCTTACAAAAACTAGTACGTGATGAGGTGGAGGCGTCCAAAGCACGAGAATTCATTCGGAATCCACAGTGCGCTCGGAAAAAGACGTTACTTCGAGCGGCAATGTACTTGGAATTTCCGCACTCGACATGAATGAATCAAATAGCACTTAAGGACTAGCTTGGTGTTCCAGTAGGCACTCGGACAGCAGTTCATGCGCATGTGGCAGTTGACCACAACTCGAGTCGAGAACTTTTGAGGATTAGAGCTCATTTAAGAGCCGCAATCATTGGGGAGTGCTACCCTCGTAGTCGTTACCCGATCGGAATGATAGCTGTAACCACTCGTGTCACCACAGTGCACATACCACCTCGCCGGAACCGCGGCCAGCTGTCAAATATCATCATTTCATACGGACCAAGACTGTGAATGATGAACTAAAACACCATAGCTCAATTATCGGACGCGCGCTAATATTGTCGTGGTCGTCGATACACGCGATACACGATATGAGTCTGAGCATAATCTCTTCCACTTACAGAAGGCCCACGTTGACGTTTATATACCTCTACTCCACTGGATTCAATTCTACTACAACTTATACCCCGACAATAGTAGCACATACCAAACTCCCTACATTTTTTAGATTCAAAAGGCCGCTGCTCGATGAAGGAACACATTTGAAATCCCCTGGTGGCCTCGATACACCTGAACTACTAGATGCATCCACTAAACACTGTATATTGAATATATGTAGTTGTGCAGATTGCACAACTATGGAATCTTAGCTTATCCCGAAGCTAGTCGATGAGTTTATGAGTCTAGTTGTAGATAGAATCACTAGATTCCATTAACCATTGCCTTGAGTTCCCAAATGGTTAACAATATATCAACTCGAAACCGTAAGTGCCTCATGGTAGACTGATGATGAAATCATTAAATAATAAAAAAACCACCACTACTTTTAAAGTTTAAATAGGGCAGTAGTATCGTGCGTTGCAGGAGCAAACATCTCGGGTTCCTTCGCCACGAAATCTTCAGTGTACAGTGGCTTGCCAAATTGATCAGTGCACAATGTGAGAAAATCATTCATATACACAGTCCACGGACCGTGCTTCGTCGCCTCGAAGCCACTGGGATTGATTCCCTCGTGAAATATAAAATATTTTGGTTTCAGCTGCCGAATTTTTTGGAAGAACTCATCGTACTGAGCTGGAGGGATAAGATTCAAACACTGTTCCGTGAAGATGATATCGAGAGCAGGGTCTCCACGGAGGGAATAGTCATAACCTTTAATGTGTTGAACCTAGGAAAGAAAACGATACAAGTAGAGGAAACTTTGATGAGATCCTCGTAGGGCGAAGGCACAAGAAGACACGGATGCAATATGCACATGGTCATCAACTACATGGGAAAACCCTATGGGGAAATTTATGGAAATTGTTGTTGGTTTCTGAATACTCCTTTCCGAACTTGTATAATTAGTAGGAAAAGGAAGCGAACATATTCCTACTCCACTACTGTACAAGAGCGTTTATCACAGTTTACTTCCGCGAAAATTCAAAATCTAAGCAGACCTATGAATGATGGCTTACATTAAAACTATGGTTTTCATTGGCAAGTTGGACACTCTTCGCATTGAGATCAACACCATATAAAAAGTCTGGGTTAGCTCCCTCGACTTTAAGAGCGTCAAGAACGCTACCTGCACCACAGCCAATCTCGAGTATCTGCAAACAAACACGGTGAGGGAGGGAATATACTACATGGTCATCAACCACATATGTTGAGGTTGAAATTGATGAAAATTCTGAGAAAATTTGGGAAAATTTCCTCCTATTGATGCACATTTGTACCAGAATTCGGGATATGCTGAGCTGAGGAAAGCAAACATATATTCCACCAACACTTAACAAACAAGTTGTTTGGAAACGTGTCGTTATATATTATCGAAATGGAGCTCACCTTAACCTCATTTAAATTCATTCCCCCCATGTCCTTCAGTGCTGCCTCAATTGCTGGCATTAAAATGTTTCTAACAGGAACGCCAAGGATCTCCATATGCTCGGCATCAGCATCTACCATGAAGGACTCAACAACAACAATACACGATGGGCGGAATCAAACTCACCCTTGGCAAAGACAGCCGAATGCGTGGCGTAATCATCTCCGAACTCATTCGTCCAAGTTGCCATTTTATTCCCTCCAAAAGTTATAAATAAAACTACCAAAACCGTCCTTACTCGTGATGGGAACAGCAGGGCTAGGCTAGCAAATTGTAACAGTCCATCTGATGTCCCTTGTTGTTGATACTGTTGTGTTCCTTGTTCACACGGCGCAACACCAGGCATGGACGGAAAAGCACCAAAATGATAATGATACTACCATAACACTTTCCTCAAAGACTCAAATGAAAGAACGGAACGATTACTGGTAAGCCTACAATGTTAACTTAACATTGTTAAGGGTCTGTTGGTACAACGCGAGTCGCCGCTTTCATCACGTCACGTATACGCAACCAAGGCTTACAAAAGTAATCATTCGCCATTCACTCGCATAGACAACACAAACGAGTATCTCGTTTTTGACACAAACATGATCATCATGGCAGAGCACATGGAAGAACAACTCGCTAAGAGTCAATCGTTCAGTTAATGCCGAGTCTGAACAAGTCTGTATAATATGGATCCGTCAGCAAGGATTTCAGGCTGGGCAGCTTCTTCTCGAATGGCGGCAAGTCAGTGGTTAGATTCGCAACAGCAGCAGCAGCAGACGATCCGCTCATGTTGAAAGCATAGCACTCCCAACCACGCGTCGTACCTGAGAGGTGCCAACTTCAACTACCAACAAGAATCTCTTTAGTTTGTGGACATCTTACCTTTGTAGACAAAACCAATTTTCTGATAGAGATCCGCTGCATGGGAATTTATATAGTCGACTCCTAGCAATGCGCCACGGACACTGGGCCACCCTAGTTTGAGCTGAACAAGGGTAATGTGTTGGTGGGGAGGACCATAAGAGGAGTTACGTATCCGAGAAAGTGTGTGATCATTCGCGTTGCAACTCCCCTCCTTCTCCATCTCTCCTCGACATACACATTATCGATATATACCCATTTTGAGTGTCTTTGATAACTAGCTTCGCCATATGCCAAATACGCAACGACATTCTGTATGAACATCATAATGAGCGATAACGGCGAGTGTCATTGATTCCCACCTTGCCTTTTCTCGCTTCTGAGTCAACCGCTACGAAGTAAGCAGCCCCAGGTAATTTCTTCGATTTTTTCCACTTGTCAGAAGGCAGTGACGGCCTGTATTCGAGAAATGAGGCATTTTTGCTAGGGACCGCGGTGTCCTGCTCAGGCTGGAAACAATTCAAACATTTCAACAGTCCCCGGCTTCTCCCAGCGACTGCAAGCCACGGCAATAACACTGCTACTAGGAGGTTTACATGGTGTACCATAGAGACAATCTGGAGCTAACGAGACAGCTGTAGCGGAGATACCCATATGGGAAATCCGTTGCGCTCGGAAGTGGGGAAGTTTTGAGCAGCGATTCCGGGCAGATGCGACATCCAATGTCAGCAAAGTTGATCAACAGCAGGAGTCCGTTCAAGGGCTCATTTTTCTTGAGTTTGAGTACTCGGAAAAGGTACATTCCGAACTTGGATGGAAAAATAGAATCAAGGGACAGTTTCATCCGACTTTTCTATTCGGGGAGTATGAATTCCGTCCATAATAGTAACATACTCTGAGTTGGTTGTTAGAGATGGAGAATGAGACTCTCATCATGGCGAGAGACGGATCATCACGCATGATCCGGGACGACGCGACATGCCATATGATTTGTGCCTATAATGAGTGTGGAATTCACGCTGTGAGTTCATTCTGTTTTCGTGAGTGCAGAACTAGGGAGGTTTTCGAGCCTCGAAAACCTCCCGAAATTCGAGGGCAACCCGCCCGGCCACTTTTTATCGGAATTGCCTCTACCTTATTAGGTGCTCGATGATAAGACTACACAAGTTGTTGTTGTTGATGACGACTCCAATCGATCCCCCCCCCAGAGACTAGATTACTCGACAGCTCTACTGTTAGTGCTACGAATTTGATATGGAGATTAAATCATGTGGTTCACAGCAGCAATTATACAACGACGACTAAGATCCGACAGAAGCAAGATACTGCACGTGCAGTTCTCTTTGTCTTCGTGGGATATCTTCGCTCACTCTCCTCAGCTCCTCCTCAACCTCCGCCCTCCCTCTAACAGACAGATTCGATACTTGATAGCGTCTCCACAGGAGCGAGGCAATGATAGCCAAGACGAGGCTCATGAGGAGCATACCAGCACATACACCATCCAATAGGGCACTTCGAGGCACCAGAGAGTATCCTGGATGAATACCAGGCATGGCTAGAGCGAAGACTAACGCAGTCACTGACGAGACTATAACAGCTCCTCTATACAGCCTGTTCACTTTATCGGACAATTTTCTATTCTTCTTCCTAGCCATATCGTCCTCCTCAAGTCGCGAACGTATAGCCGCCTCGACCAGGATGCAGTCTGACTGTAGCACGCTGAGAGAAGCTTGGACACGCCATTCTACACATTGCTTAACAGCGAGGGACACTTCTTCCAATCTGTTCACTCGGGAGGTTTTCGCTTCCCCTATGAAGATCGGCAACAGGTCGAATGCATGTATAACGCCCAGTCGAGACGTCAACGATTGTGTCACTTGATTCGAAACTTTGAGAAGATCGTCATCTGTTGGAACCGTGTCGACCTTTGTCAAACAGAACCTCATCTTAGACGGATACTTCTTGAAGAGACCACAGACCACTTCACATGTTAAATTGCAAAGAGCTTGTCCAAGAGGGTCCAAGAAGACCAGAATCAAGTCAGCTCCTTACCAAAGAACTCAATTGCAGCAACAACATCATACGGGTACTCCAATCCGCCATCAGCGAGGCCAGGAGTGTCTATAATGTCCAGCATTGATAGGAAAGGGGCCACCGCTTCGCTAGGGAGAACAGTTTTAGTGACAAGATGTGATAGCATCCTCGGATCGCGGTCAATGAGGGACTTTAGATGGGGGTAGAGCAACATGGTGGATTCGCCATTGAGTTCACGTCCAGTTTGGCTGCCTGCAGTGACTATAGTGAAGCCGGTGGTCTCCAATGCAGCGCCGACCTTCTGTACAGGGGCATCGACGAACCAGTTGATGAAGGTAGATTTGCCGGACGAGTGGTTGCCCATAACCATAACCTAACACCAATGTGAAGTATGAGAAGTACATACATGGTCAACTACATGTGTTGGTGATGACAACATAAAATTTCTGAAAAAATTTTGGGAAATTCTCACTAGTTTCTGTACACTTCTACCCGTGAACTCCTACAATTTCTGAGGACACTTCTGAACTCAGTTGAAGAACGCGAACATATATTTCAGCACTGCTGATACGACAGGAGTGATCATCCGGCTCATGAACTGCTCATGCAAGCAGTCAACTTCTCGGTTTTTTCTCACTGTACGATGCTTATGTTGATTATGAATATACTTATTCGTTGAATGATATCTAAACACTCCTTGCTAGATGATCTCATTAAACGATGACGATACGGCTTACCAAAGCTTTCTTCCGAATCCGCCGTAGGTCGCAACTATACTTCTCTCCGAGTGCGTTCAAATCAAAAGGAGGATCAGCATAGCACGCATGCACATCTTTCAGAAATGATACTGGCCCTCCACGATTCAGAGGGTTTGATATGTCTACAACCATAGTGGTGGTTCGAAGAAGAATACTCTGCTATGAAACGGAGCCATAGACACCACGGAATATGCGAGGGAATGAAAAGTTTCCATCCCCTCGTACGTGCCCCTTGTCAGTGAACATTCCAAAATTTTCACTCCCAGGGAAGCGGATCCTACCGAGAAGAACGAAGTATCTTGGCGGAGGTTACCGCGCCCTGTGGACTATAGTACCTGGCGTGATAAACGAGCCAATTTTAACAGACTGAACTCCCGCTTGAATCTATGCGAGTCTTGACCATTTCATCAGCGATACACAGTGTGTATTACACGCACTCCACCCGCAACAGTATGATCTTACAAAAGCTCGATTGAACTTTCAATACAGCAACTCTGGCACAATCCCCGTGATCATGGATAAAGCACAGATTTTAACCCACACAGAACGGACAGAGATGGTTACACAAAGAATAGATATAAGGATTACTGGTGGTGGATTCATTCAGCGAAGAGCAGCTCTCTGAGAGCTGCATTGACTGACTCAACTACTAGACAATGAGCGACGGTAGAAGGAGCATCTACCACTTCATGATAACCAATTGGTGTATTTAGCATAGATTCTGATGAAAAAAGTGCAATCTACCCTAATTTGCTGCGACTCCGCTGACTGTGATGATGGTGATGTCTATCCGATCTCCACCCTGAAGACGACAGAGGGCTAGGGGACGACCTAAACAGGAATAAGTCAACCGTGAGTCAAGAGCCAAGACGGCCGCTGTGAGTTCGGTATCACTAATGAGTACCACGGTGAGTTCGAGGCACAACTCGGATTTTCGAGTACACGGCGGTCGGCTATGTTGGAAATTACTCAATACATAGTCGATCCATACGAAGCCCGACAAGACTCGAGTCCATGTGGAACAGAGTTATGAACCAGTCTTGAAATATACGATCGAAACTCTCCATCTCTAGGGTCCTGATTCGGGATTCCTAGAAATGGGAATCATTGATGGGACAACCAAAACACACGTACGGTGAGCATAGGAAACTAGGCTATATCGTTCCTCAGAAACTCAACAGGATTACGTGAAGGAAGTACGAAGGGTCGACTGCCGACTCTCTGCTGTCCCGTCATGGGATTCCTGTGCCATCTTCACGATGTCACGTAATGCCGGCTTGGTATCCCGAGCTGTTCAGGTTGCTGATAAGCCTCTCATGAGAGCATTCACGCCCTTATTTGCAAAGTTTTTGGATCTCGTCATTAGTTCACCTCCATTAGCTTCGCTTCAAGACAACGATCCGATCTAGCCCTGATCCCTCTTGGCCAGAATGTATGTCATGCCGTCCCAAGACTTCAGCATGGTTTGGAGCATCATCAAGGTGGCGTTCCAGCGAGTCTCGTTTCGGGGATTCAAGCTGATGATAGAGTCTGTCGCTTCCTTGAAACTATCGATCGCGATTCAAACTCCAACATTTGCCTTGTATTACGTCAACTAGTAAAAGAAGATATAATGTTAGTGAAGAACCGTTGACGAGGATGTTGTACCGGCTGAAACTAGCAATAACAGAGCAAGAGAGATTATCTAATTTAGCAAGGACTTCACTTGGACTGAGGAAGTAATATCAGTGGTACTACTAATCATGATAGCCAGAGCCCAGAGCATGGCGGCGATGACAAGCAGAGTAGTAGGTCAGCTCAGCTCGTTGCGTTGCCTCTACCATCCTCGACTATCCAGAAATAGAGACGTCTATCCAGCAATACGAGACTTCACCCGGTAATTGGGTGTAAGGCGGCCGGAACACTAGAAGTTGAAGGAGCAAGCGATTATCACTCCAATGCCAATGAATGTATGGCTACATGTGATCAAGGCCAATGTGTTCGCCAGGATTCGACGTTGTTCATGATCAACGGCCGAGTCAGCTGAGCTGACGTGCAGTTTCCCGTTATGCACTGGAACTGAATAATCCATCGGCCAGCAAAGTGGTCATAGTGAGGGAAAAACCGAGCTTAAAATCTTGCAGTGTAAGTTACAAGCATGAAAGTCCTATAGAGCACGATAATACTGAACTGCAACAAAATCTGCTGCAATTCATCGCTTCGTAAGGTCCATGCCTTTTTCCGGTCCACGATGAGCAGACCATCGCAAGATTGAGACCGTACGATATGCAGCCTTTACACCAGACGCTTCTGATGCAGTGTCATCAGCCTCTCTGAGAGACTCTCATCATCACACCGAGCAATATCGATGTGGTTGATCGAGGGTCCAAGGCCTTCGAAATATCCCCCAGGCGAGAAAAATTATACAACTTTCTTAGCACCGATTTTATAATCTTCCAGAAAAGCCAATACGTGCCCGACCCTTACAATGTCCTGCTGTCCCCGAATGGGCGACATGTCCCTCATGCTCGTTAGCCTCCAGCTACTGCACGCAGAGATATCGGACTGCTGGGATCGACAACTGACAGAGACCATTTGATAAATCTTCGCCAGGACACCCTGATCTGAGCTGCGGATCTACCTAAGGTACAGAAGGCTTCTCCATTGAATCGCACAAGGTTGCGAACCTGCATGTCGACAACCTCGAATACAATGTGAGTAACCCTGGAGAGAACACAAGAAATAACATAAAACTATTTCAGTGCCATAGTCATATAATACACTATGTGCAAGCGTATTCATATAATTAATACTATTAACACCGTTTCCACCCTCGATCGACGCGAAATACATATTGCTGCAATACTATTGCATAAAGGGCTCTGCGCACGAAAATGGATATTTGGACCGGAGCGCTTGCCGCAACGCTGAGAGGTAAAAAGCACAGAGAAAAAGCCCTGATGCTGTGTGAAAAATTCTCTTCAAGAATTCTTCACAGTTCCCTAGCTCGGAGCATAGCTTTTCACACTACCTAGCTGAGCTCAGTGGAATTTTTATTGGGCTCAGCTGGACAGTCTGAAAATCCACGGAAATGAATGATTCAAATTCACCAAAATCTAGGTCAGCAATCCCATATACGCCTGAGGACTCTCGATAGCATTCTTCATACTAGACAACTACTTAGCGGGCACTTTTTCATCAAAACGATCGAGGCACCCTCTAATATCCTCAAACCGAACGTTGCTTGAACTGTAGACACTAGTTACTAAATTCTCAAGTTTTCTTCGACCCTCAGATTTGTGAATATACGCAATGCACAACAACAATCACATCAGAAACACATTGCGGAAATCATGTTTGTTCTTCAACCGTTCTCAGGCTGCTGTTACTGCTGCAACAAAGCTTCCTTCACCAGAGTACGTAAGAATATGCACTCATCTTCAGGTGTTCTATTCCTCCTCCTCCATGTCCTGAAAACCAAGGAGTTGGCATTGATAGGAAAATATACATACCAATATTCGATGGCGATACTCTTGCAGTTATGATGTTGTCTCAAATGCCGGTGTTTCATAAACCTAAACAAAGAAGCCTTCGTTCAGGCACACTATGACCATATGACAAGCTTCTGTAGTGAAGTGGTACGAATCGTCTCCACCATGCCCTAGGTTCCGAGATCGATCCCCGGTGGAAGCATCTTACAATGGAGTCGGCTTCTTAAGAGTATCAATTTCAATCACCAACTTCGTTTCCTCATCAAAGAAGTCAACAACATATCCCCCTAAATACAATCACTAATCCACTTACCGCACAGAAAACCCATTTTCCCACCGATTTTCTTGTTCCTCACAATATTCAACCGAACGTCGAGCCCACGGGCACCCTTAAGAGCTTCCAAAGCATCAAGCACCTCGAAATGCAGTCGAGACTTCTCACTTCTGAATCAGAGACACACTGCAAATCCTCTACTACCAATCCCGCACAGGTTCGATCCCAACCCACAGCATACATCACTCACCTTTCAATTTCCATTCTCTGCGCTTCTGCGAATGCCAACTGCCACGCCTCTGGAGCCTCAACACCCTTCCCTTCCAGCACAAGAGCCCTATCAACCTATCACACCAGAATCAACAACCAACTGTGGCGATCTGAACTCAGTTGTGTTATTTCTATTAATATCTATACCACGATTTGCGCTAATCCTTATTGAGCTCAGAAGTGTTATGTCAACGCAACCACATTTTTGCGTATGGGCCTGCTTGTCGCCCTTGCTTCCCTCGGTTGCGACACCCCCTTACCAAAACTCATTGAATAACCTACTTCGATCATTTTTGCCAGTATGTCCCTGTTCCTGGGAGGTTGACATCCATAAATCTCTCCGGCGATATCTTGCAGCAAATCTGAGCATAACATAGAGATTCACTACGGTACGGTAGGAATACGGGGCATGGCGAAACCGTGTAATACGTTACAGTACGGCATTACGGTCAACCCCAATTAGCATTTTTTAGCATCACAAACACCATGATAAAAAATACTAGCACAACAGCGCGTATACGCTCTACATGCTACCAGAAAATAACATTATTTTGTACCACTAACTTCAGTAACATCAACGAAAGCCGCATGGAATCGGATAATCTGCTCCTGCGATTGCGATTCCTGTTATACTCTAACATACGATATGAAAAAGACAAAACTGTATTGAACATGTTATTGGAAAGCTATTTAATATTCTTTATTTCTTAATTTGGTATAAATCTAATACGGAATAAAATGAACGAGTAATAACAGGATAGAATTACACCCTAATATAAGAAATTCTTCAATGGGAAAACACAGCGAGGAAACATACGTAGACTAGCAGTAATCGTATGAGCAGGTTCATCCGTAAATATCAAGTTGATTTCTAATACAAGTCCCGGGTTGATAAAACGCTCAAATGTGATGTACTGTTCAAACCACGCCACATTATATCTCACTATATCCAGCAAAAAAGCAACTCCCAGGGATAGAACCTGCGTCACCTGATTGAGCAGCTTGACAAGCACACATACCCCACGCCATGTCCACCAAAGAGCTCAACTGAATCCCTCCATAATTCCCCCGTTTTTCGCGCATCTGTGAAAAAATAACACAGCCAAAAACGCTGGTCTCAACCCACCTCCGAGTAATAACTCACTAAATTTAGCCAAAGCTCTTCGTTTATATTATATTCGTTCGATACCAAAACAAAGACAACTTCACTGACCTGACAAGAAAATACTTCGTCAAGGCAAGTTGACCAACGCCCCCCTATATGAAAAATGGAGACATTTATGAAGCAAGGGGCGAGACAATCTATTTTCTATAGAATATATTCTATATTATTCAATCTAATTAATAACAATAACTCACGAGAAATTATTCCTAA